GCACTTGAAGAGGAAGTTACTCATCTTGTGCAGTAACAGTGGTTCTTTGTGTATCCCTGTGGGTGTTCCACTACCCATCTTCCTCCCCTCTACTTCAGAGTACAACCTTCACTCTGGAGAAGAGAAGGAAAAGAGGAGGCGACAACCGCACACGTGATCCATTAAGGCACGAGCACCTTGAGATGCCTACGGCATGTCTGCCCCTTCTGACTACTGCTCAAAAATCTATGGTCTGCAGCACTGGCACTTCCCAGCACCTACAGTGGAGCACCCATAGGGACATACATCTTGAAGAACCATTGTTACTGCATAAGGTGCGTAACTTCCTAGTTTGGAGGAGAGCGGGGGGGGGAGGCTGTGGGAAATAGCTGGTGTTGCAGTAAAAACTGCTGCTTTTGCTGCTGCCCTCCCCACAGAGCCAACATCTGGGTGCTGCAGAGAAGGGACACTGAGGATAAGGGTGTATGTGTGTGACTCAAACTATTGAGGCAGCTGAGTCTATAAATTGTGCCTCTCCACACTCCCAGTAAGCACTAGATGTCTCTGGCAGTAGTCTCTATGCTGGGGATGGGGAGAACCTATGGCCTGGGCGCAGGATGTGGCTCGGAGCTTGCTTTGATCCAGTCTGCAATGCTTGAGGCTTGTCCCTCCCAATCTGCAGCAGCATGAACTGGCTCCAGGCACATGAGGGGCAATCGTGACTGGAGTGTCAATGCCAACTGGCTGGTATCACAGGTTGGGGAAGGATTCCTGAGCCTTGCGTGCCCCATCAGAGTAAGACGGGGCTGGATTTAACTAGCAAGCTCTGTCTGGCAGGAGAGAGGAAGCAGCTCCATGCGGCTCTGCCCATTGCAGGAAAGCACTAAGCCTCTCTGCCTCCTCTCTTACCTGTGGGGCTGGAACTCGAGGGGAGTCTTTTTTTCCCTATTTTTCTGTTGGGGACCACATCTGTGTGAATTTCTTTTTCTCCTTTTCGCTTGGGGACCAGGTCACTTGTGTGGCCTCCAACTAATTTTTCTGTGGGTCAGTGGCCCCCAGCCCAAAAAAGAGTCTACATCCCTGCTCTAGACCCTCTGTAGGGTAGAAGAACAGAGGGGCTTCCCTGCCACACCCTCTAGTCTAGGCGAAAGAGGGGAAAAGGCATTGCAAGCTGCACTTCAAGTGATTTGTGAGGATTTACCACCTCTGCCTTACATGATGAAGGGCTCACCTGTCAGCATGTGACAATGACCTAAAAAACAGTATTCAGAAAGGGAACTTAAAATGCTGTTGGATTTGTTCATTTGATATCAAGAGTATTTTTGAACGTTTAGCTTCATTATTATTTATTTCTAGTCTATGTAAGTTGACATCCCTCAAAATGAGGAACATTTGGCAGATAGTTACAGTTGAAATGCAAATACAGTTAAAGCTGTATTATTTGGCCCTGTACCAACCAGAAAGCTCTATAAACTGGCATTTCTGATCTTCATTGAAAGTTTGGATGACATGAGGCCAGCAGACTCCCTGCCTGGCTCCATATGGCTCTCTGGAAGCAGTAACATGCTCCTGCTGTTCCTAGTGGAGGAACAACCACAGGGGATTCGTGTGCTTGTTCTACATTTCCCGCTGGCCTGGAACCGCAGTCTGTGGGAGCTGTGGAGGCAGCATGCAAAGACGCCTAGCTGTGTCTTTGCCTAGGAGCAACAGAAACATATTTCTGCTTATGGAGAGCCACCCGAGGTGAGCACTGCCAGATCCAGCACACCAAAACCTTTCCCATGCCCCAACTTCCTGTCCTGAGCCCCCTCTTGAGCCTGAACGCCACACTCCTTGCCTCACTCTAAAACCTTTGACCCCATCCTAGGGCTCCTCCCGTACTTCAAATCTCTCATCCCCAGTCTTAACCCAGAACTAACCCTTCCCCCAGCCCAAATCTCTTGCCTAAACCCTTCATTTCTGGCCCCACTCCAGAGCCCATATATGTGCAGACCTCATATCCCCTCCCACACCACATCCCAGAACTCCCTCCCCACATTCTGAACTCTTGTTTGGCCAAAATATTTGACTAACCAGCACTCCCCATTCTGTCAACATGATAGATAAAGCTTTTGCTGTATATCGCTGATTTCGAGGCACAAGGCAGATGGAGTTAAGTTTAAGATAATCTTTCAGTAACTCATTTTAGAGATAAAAATGACAGGACTGTTGTAATACTTCATGGATAAAATTCTGGTTCCATTGAAGTCAATGGGCGTTGTGCTAGTGACTTCATTGGGGCCAGGATTTCATTTTGTGTGCACAAAAATAAATTCAGCAGTCTCGATTAGTGCCATCACAATCTTCCTAGCAACACAGCTGCTACCATAACTCTTCTACGTCTTCTAGGATACAATTCAGTAAGGTAGTTCATGCTGTTGGTTTTATTTGTATGTTTAAAGATGTCATAATGAAAAAATACCTTGCTGATATGCGGCAGCCCTAGAGAGGAGCACTGTCTATATATTATATGGCTAAAGAGGAAACCCATTATAACTCTGTCAGCACCTTGGATATACTTCGCAGGTGACATAATTATTAGATTAATGCATGGCCCAGCTTCTATTATTAATTGAATATTTTTAAAAGCCCAGGTGTGTGTTTATGTAAAAGGTGCTTTAGAACTATGGAGAAAGAGTTTGGATGAAAAAATCAGTATAGAACTAAGTAATAGCATAGGAAAAAAGAAACTGGAAAGTAGATGCAAAGGGAAAAATACTTTTTTTTTTTTGGGGTGCTAATGAGGATATACTAGCCTGAATGGTGGTGGTGGGGGGGGGGGTTGTTTGTTTGGTTGGGGTTTTTTTTTTTGAGAGAGAGATTAAGCCATTTTCTTGTTTGTTTTCATGTTTATACTTCTGGGTTTTTTTCCTTTAATTTCCTCACACTTATTGGTACTTGATGATTTCTATTTTTAATCATCGATCTTTTTGGACAAACTTTCAGTAACAAACAGCTAGCACTGCTCCTAATTTAGGCTTGAGTAAAATATTGAACGCTAAAACAAAAAGCACTTGTTAAAGTGGGTAATTAATGCCAAGAAATTAAATTAACGTTGGTTTGTGCCAACCATGTTATTTAGCTTTAAGCTGTTACATTATTTAGTAATTGAAGGATTTGAACTATTGCAATTCTTATTAAAAATAGGTGTTCTATTTAAAAGGAAGGCAAGAGTGCAGAACATTTTACAAATAGCTGAAAATATAGGCAAATTATATATGCAGAAACTGAGAAACTTTTCAGCTTGAACCTTTTTCATTGGCTTTTTAAATGTACTTCTGATTATAAGTGTAACTGTTCAAAATAATGCAGTGATCACTTTCCAAAAAAAGTTGCAAATGATTTTTAGGAAGGACTCCTTTAGGAATATATAGGGCCAATTCCTGCAAACATGCACATAAATAAAACTGTGTATTCCTACTGAGTAAAGTTACTCATGAGCTTTTAAGTGTTTGCAGAATTGGGTTCAGAGGATTAATTAAAACTGCTTCTGTTAAATTCTTTTTTATTAAATTGAAATGTCAGTTATTTTGTGTAATATGAAACATTATTGTTCTCCCTAATGTTATCTTAACTCTACTTATGATTTTAAATACCTTCAGTGCTTAATGTGATTCACCTAAAACCTGCTTGTTTTTTCAGTTGAAGCAATAGTTGCTTTGGCTGTGTCCAGACTCAGGGTTTTTTTCGAACAAAGTAGCCTTTTTTCGAAAAAACTTCACCTGCGTCTAGACTGCAGCCGCGTTCTTTCGAAATTAAATCGAAAGAACGTGGCTTTTCTTTCGATGGCGGTAAACCTCATTTCACGAGGAAGAACGCCTTTTTTCGAAAGTGCTCTTGAATGCCAACAGGGCTTTTTTAGAAAGAGAGCATCCAGACTCACTTGCTGCTTTCTTTCGAAAAAGCGGCTTGCTTTTTCGAAAGTACTGCTTGCAGTCTAGACACTCTTTTTCGAAAGAGGCTTTTTCGAAAGATACTTTCGAAAAAGCCTCTTTCGAAAGAGACTTGCAGTCTAGACATAGCCTTTATGAACAGTGGCACAATGTTTGGCTATGGAAGTGTGAAATAACTTAAGGAATTGTTTGTAGTCCTTCAGCTTGTGTGTGTGTGTATAAAATGTTTATTTTTTTGAATTCACATTTCTTAACATATGAAATTCAAAAAAGGCACTTAATTCAAGAATAGATTTCATGGAGTGAATTAAAAATGTTCATTGTTTACTGCTGGAGTTATTTATAATGCTCTCAGCCTTTGAGGAAGGAGAGTTTCAGGCATTCTCTGTTGTCAGCCGTGTTCTTTTTGGCCACCACTGATCCATTATGCTCACATTGGTGAAGGCAGATAGATAGCCAGAATGGCCATAGATGATACATCTACACAGCAATAAAATACTTGTAGCTGGCCTGAGTCAGCAGATTCAAGCTTGGGCTGCAGGGCTATAAAATTGCTGTGTGAACATTCCAGCTCAGGAGTGAAGGTCTCAGAGTCTGGTTTCCAGATCAAGCCCAAGCATCTACACAGACTTTTTTAGCTCCAAGCCTGAGTCAGATGACCTGGGCCAGCCATAGCTGTGCCACAGGCCTGTTGTTGGGGCTGATGTAACAAGAGAGAACTCTGAACTAATTGCAATGAGTTGGGAAAGATGGAGGGAAGTGTATATGGAGTGTAGCTTACGTCTTGGAATAAGTGAGATGATCATATTGATCATAACTGAATTTACAAAAATTAAACTAGCGGTCACTAAATTACTTAAAGGTCTAATTTCCTTTGTCTGATGTAGAGAGTAGGATCATTTATGTCTAGTTATTCTATTGAACAGCGTATGAAATTCTGACCCTGAGTAAGTACTGTATTAGTCTATTTACAGAACAGCATCATTATTTAATGCTGATTAAAAAGATGTATTAGTCTGTATACAGGAAGATGCGATGTAACTGGTATTTTTCTAAATCTAATTCCTTATTAATTCCTTCCGTGTGTAGAACCATGAACAGACTGACTCAGCTGGAGAGACTGGACTTAGGAAGTAATGAATTCACAGAAGTGGTGAGTTTTAGATAAGTAGCAGAGCTTTGAATGGTTTCGTAAATCTTTATCCTTAAATCTATTTTTAATCAGCATCAAAATGTAAAAATCAGCTTACAAGTTATACTACTGAACAAATGTTACATACACTTCTTACTGCTTCATGGAATCTTAAAAATTCTGACTGTATATTTATTTTCCCTTTTCCTTTTCAAAAAAACATTTGTTGCCAAAAGATCTTCATAGAATAAGGCAACCTCTTTTAACTTTTTAAGTAGAAAAAAAAACAGAGGCACAGAGGGTATGGAATTTAGTAACTGGAAACATGATGAAGACCCAACACCATGTGATCAGCCAACTCTCTGTGGACCCAGTAAGTGCTGTGTGGGACGTAGTTTAAGAAGTGCTGTTATATGAGACACTTCCCTGTGCACTACTAGCTCATGTACTGAGAATTGACTTGATTTCTGTTGCTAGTTTTGGCACTGGGCTGCTTTGTGACCTTGGCAGATCACTTCATCCCTCTGTGCTTCTGTTTTCCCTCCTGCATGAAAAGTTTAAAGAGTTTGCCTTATTTTATGAATATTAAATATTTTGGGGAATCTACTTTAAATCTTAGCTCATGAACTAATTAACACACTTGTTTGGAAATTCTTGGAAAATTAATTATATACTTGGAGTAAGACTCTTATATGAGGAAGAAGATGCTGTATACTTCATACATAATAAAGTGATCAAATCTGTTTTAAGTGTAAAACTCAACTCAGCCTTAACTATTGGGTTGCAGCCAACACCTCTATCATATATTCTCTCTGTTTTTTCAAGAACAAAGTATAAATATTTCCAGTGAAGCATACATAATATGCATGTTTTGTCAAATGATATTGCCTCCTTCCCTGATTTTGAGAAAACATTTGTATTCAAATGGGAAAAGAAATGTTTAGATTCTTTTCTTTTATATGTTCTCCTTTGAGTTCTATCACAAGCCAAGGAGGAAAGTTATAAGAGTACATGGTTAAAATATGCTCTTCGTTGATATACACTCCTTTTGATTTGTTTACTACATTGTCTATTACATTGTTTATATTGTTTGAAGTTCACCTGGTCTAGCATCCAATAGACTTTAACTGGCTGTTGAATAAATAGCCATGCTGAGGTGTAAAATTAATAGAATGTTTTAGGTGTCTCAGTATGAAAGACAATAGGTATGTGAAGATACATTTAATGTGTGCACCAAAAGGAAAATAAACTTAATTAAAGGAAAATTAAAAAGAGTTGGACTTTTCAGCTTAGAAAAGAGGAGTTTAAGGGGGGATATCATAGAGGTCTATAAAATCATGACTAGTGTGGGAAAAGTGAATTAGGAAAAGTTGTTAACTTATTCCCACAATATTAGAACTAGGAGTCACCAAATGAAATCAGTAGGCAGGAGGTTTAAAACAAACAAAAGAAAGTTTTTCTTCACTCAGCACACAGTCAGCCTGTAGAATTCCTTGCCAGAGGATGTGGTGAAGTCTAGGACTTTAACAGGGTTCAAAAAAGAGTTAGAGAAATTCATGGAGGTTAGGTCCATTAATGGCTATTAGCCAGGATGGGTAGAAATGGTGTCCCTAGCCTCTTTTTCTCTGGAGGTAGGTGGCAGGGGAGGGATCATGTGAGGATTGCCTGTTGTGTTTGTTCCCTCTGGGGCATCTGGATTGGATGGACCGTTGGTCTGACTAAGTATGGCCATTCTTATGTTCTTAATTTTTTTATAGATTATTTTGAATATTTTGGTCAAATTCTTACACTGGGAATACACAAGGGTTGTCACAGATTTACAAAACAAGTATGAATTACAACCTGGATTAAAATTCCTTTGTGATGGGGTTTAGTTACAGAAGACCCATTGAGAATGCTTCCCAGTGTGCTGACAAAGCCACTGACACTCACCTCTTTGTTGCTCTCTGGGGCTTCTCACCAACCTGTCCTGCTGGGCCAGATCTCGTGGTCTTCTCCATCCAAGACACAAAGCTGAGATCACTGCCCCTCTAAAGAGCAATACAGACACTGAAACTCTTTGGGTCTGGGGAAAATGCAGTTTTGGGCACAGTTTCCAGGAAACTCACTCCCCAAATGGGATCAGAACACCCAAAATAAATTATTCAGGTAAGCTCCCTTTAACAATGAAAGGAGGGATGTACACACTAATTACTCCCCCGGTAACACTTATTTACACTGGGCTTTGATAGTAAATAAAGGTGATTTTATTAAGCACAAGCAGTAGGATTTAAGTGGTTGCAAATGAAAAAAGGCAAAATAAATTATAAAAATGTAAAACAACAGAAAACTCATAGCTTGTTCTAACACCCTAAAACTGTTCTGATTTCAGCAAAACCTCCAAGCCAGGAAAGATCTTTTTTCCCTGGGGTCTCTGGTTCAGTCTCTTACGAGTGACCTGCTAGCCAAAGACAAAGACCCTGAAAACTTTGCATCTCAAATAGATTTCTTTTTGGGAAGGAATTCTGTTTCTATATTCCCCTCTTCCATGGAAAATTACCTAGTCAGACCCTACCAGTTGGGGTAGTTATATGTCTTCGTAAGACCAACCACTGCTTAGACTTGAAAGACAAAGGAGCATGTTTACAGGTGATGACCCAGACATTGAGGGGCACACCATAGATGGCTTTCATTTGCACATTTAAAACCATAAAGCATTCTATACTCCAGGGCTACTCAACTTTGGAATCCCCGGGGGCCACAGTGATACTCACAGCACAGGCCCAGGGCTGCGATTTAAGCATGGTTTCATATACATACAAAAATATATGCAAATAGCTTCTTTCACACTGAGGAACACGAATACAAAGATTAAGGAAAGACTACACAACATGCAGGCCCCATTTAAGTCAGTTCTGATATTAATAAAATGCAATATTTACCCGATTTCCACCCAATTTGTACTTTTAATGAGCAATGACAGTCCAGGAATTTAACTACTAAAATGCATATCAACAGAAGACTATTATATTCTTCCATTGTGGAGCGTGTTCCCAGTAGAGGCCATGATCAAAGGATCCCACCTGTGGGCTGTGTTGAGCCCTGTGTCAACCCAAACCGCACAGTGGGCCGCAAACAAACAGGCTGCATGCGGCCCACAGGCCATTAGCTGAGTAGCCCTGCTATACTCCATATTTTAACTTAATATGCAAGAATGATACATACACCAAAATAAGATATACACATCCAACAGACTGAGACACTAAAATTAAAAGGTTACATGATGTATATTTTCCAAAGCATCTTTGAGTTACTCATTTTTGTATCCATAAATCATGCTTTCTTAAAGCATTATGGGGGGAGTGTCCATCACAATCTCAATAAATAAGACTGTTCAAATGGCTGAAGTGATTGTTGTTGCATTGATCCATTTAAACTATTCTTTTGTATCAGTTTTTTTTTTAATTATTTTTAACAGCCTGAAGTACTTGAACAATTGAGTGGATTAAAGGAATTTTGGATGGATGGTAATAGATTAACTCTTATCCCTGGGGTATGTCTTTTTGATGTTTTAAATGCATTGCATTAAGTGTGTAGTAGTACCAGTCTTGTCAGTTAACTCCTTAAATTAAGAATATTTAACAGTACCACAAAGCCATGAGATTAATTGCTTTTGCTTAACTAGCCCTTTTAAAAGCCATTGTTAATCTCTTGAGGGATAGGTATGAATAGTTCCTTTTGGTGAAAGTAGTTGTTCTGTCATTTTAGATTTTTACCTAGGTCTCAAATTCTATAAAGGTTTAGATATAAATTCTAGTTTTAATATAGGGATATCTACTTTTTTTTCTGAGAAGAAATTGTACTTTAAAGAGCAATCTATAATTCACAAGATATATTTTAGTAAATGCTAGTGATTACTGTAGATGTAGAATATGGTCAGTTGTACTTTTGTTATCTCCCTTTGGTGTACTTAAGAATTTGAATATGTGTCTGACCCGAAGTCAGTGCAGATGTTCGCATTGGTTTTAATTGGTTTAGAGTCAGGCTCTGTATTCTGGATCTCAGTTAAAGTTATGTAGGGTCCACATTGATATCTTATTTCTGTGTTTTTACGAGCCTTAAAATATTAGGGGTCACCAAATGAAGTTAATAGGCAGCAGGTTTAAAACAAACAAAAGGAAGAACACTTGAATCTCTTTAATCTAGCACCACTGGGACAATGGGGTATGTTGGATTATGGAATTTCCTGGGCTGTGGAGGAAGCTGCGGATTCTGAGCGGAAGGGGGATGAGGGTGGGGTGCTTACTTCACACCCTATTCCTAGGGTCACACATGGCTACATGACCCGCCACCACTCCCAGACACTGCCACTCCCAAGCCCTGCTGCTAAGGGAGTGGCTAGGGAAATGCCTCCAGATCAGTGCTTCACTGAGCTGACATTTCCCCAGCTAAGAGGAGGAGCAGCAGCATGGATAGGTGCTTCCTCCTTCCACTGTTAGGGTCTGAACCATAGGTGTCCTCAGATTGGGGACTTTCAGATTAGGGAGATTCTAGTGTGTTTCTTTACATAATGTATAGTTAAAGGCTACGTCTAGACTGGCATGATTTTCCGGAAATGCTTTTAACGGAAAAGTTTTCCGTTAAAAGCATTTTCGGAACAGAGCGTCTAGATTGGCACGGACGCTTTTCCGCAAAAGCACTTTTTGCGAGCTGGGAATCCGTTTCTTCTGCTAAACCCAGACTGCACAGTGGAGGAAGTTGCCTGGTTTGAATTCAGAGGGAACATGATCTTGATCTGAAGGTGGCAAAAGGAGCAGTTTGGAACAAAAAGCCTGGGGGAGGAAGTGGCAGATGGTCAAAGTAGGAATGATAGAAGAAGTAGGGGGGAGACTGAGACCATCTAGTCAAAGATGCTGAGAAGAGACCAAAGGAGACAGATCAGATAGAGCCAGAAAGGGGAAAATCAGCATAAACTATTTTGCAGAGGATATTGTGAAGGTCAAGACTATAATAGAGTTCAAAAAGGAGCGAGATAAATTCATGGAAGATGAGCAGGTATCGTTAGGGTTGCCAGATGGTCTCCCAAAAAATACCAGACACCCGGTATTTTTTGGTCAAGCACTTCCCCCACCCCGGCTAGGCCTCTGAAGCGCCCAGAGCAGCGATTGCAGCCCTGCCTCCCAGCTGGGACTCCCCACCTGCTAGTGCTCTGGGTGCTTCAGAAGCCTTGCAGAGGTGGGGGGAGTGGCTGGGACTCCAAGCTGCTCCCCCCCGCCCTGGCTAGGCTTCTGAAACGCCCAGAGCAGCGATTGCAGCCCCGCCTCCCTGCTGGGAGCTCCAGCCACTCCCCCTGCCCCCGCCAGGCTTCTGCGCAGTCACAGGATCCTAGCGCTGATTGTGGCCCTGCCTTCCAGCCGCTCCCCCCGCCAGGTGCCTTCCAGCCGCTCCCCACGCCAGGCTTCCATCCAGTGCGCAGCCGGAAAAATCAGAGAATACCGGACATTGCACATGTCCGGTATTCTCTGACTTTTTTTTACCAGCCAAAGAGCACAAATACCGGACTGTCCAGTAGAATACCGGACACCTGGCAACCCTAGGTATGGTATCCTTAGCCTCTGTTTGCCAGAGGCTGGGAGTGGGGAGCGTAGGGATGGATTTTTTGATGGTTTCCTGTTCTATTCATTCCCTCTGAAACACCTGGCTTTGGCCACTGTTAGAAGACAGGATTCTGGCTAAATGGAACTTTGGTGTGACATGTTCTTACAATTGCATCAAATTGTTTATTTTAGAACTTCACTGCTGATTTTATATTTTCATATAAATTGTACTTCAGTAGTGCTCTTCTAATATGTGAGGCAATAGTCAGTCTACTTTTGTCTACAAAACTTTTATAGGAACTGAGTTACAGCCATCCTTAGTCTCTTTTCCCATTCAATAGAAAATATTTTAAAGCCTTTCTACTGTACAGTCCAAGCTTGGTAGAACTGTCCATAAGTGACTTATATTGATGTTGGTTGGTTTAGTGTTCATAAACATTTGTGTATGCTTGAGCCATGCAGAAAAATAAGAACGTTTACGTAAACATATGACAAACTTAGGTTTTGCTTGTTTAATCTCTCAACCTATCCCAATTAATGATTGCTATTGGAGTTGCATTTTAAGGGAAGGTAGAGTTCAACTTCTACAAAAACTGTCTGCGAGAAAGTTGAGAGCTTGAAGAAAATAATGCTGTGATAAATTATAACACTTACATGATTACATTAGGTACAATCTCTGCTTGTGCTAAATTAAAGAGTATTCTTGAACCTAAGTCTTCAGATTGGAAGAGTACTCACTAGTCTGGAGGCTGAACTGTAAAATTAATTAAACTGAAAAAGAAACCCTGACATCTGGATTGTTTTTTTACATTTAGACTTTGTGCAGGCATGCATGAGACTATATAATGCATTTTGATATTTATATATTTAAAAATAAATTTGGTACCATGATATAGTTTGGCTACTTAGTATCAGATTTCCTCAATGATAACAATAGTTTTATGGAACAAGAAAAGATAGAGCGGGGATTCTTAAACTTTTTTTCTGGGACTCCTTTGAAAAGAGATCATGCTGTGACAGCCCCGCTTCATATTTTCTTCTGCACTGCTGATGGTTGCAGTGCTGCCTTCCAAGCTGGGCATTTGGCCAACAGCTACCACTCCTGTGACCCCCACCATGCAACCTCCTTTTGGGTTGGGGCTTCCCATCTGAGAAACATGACTTAAGAGTCAGTAAACTATCGGAAATAATGGCTTTCTTTGTTGCTTGAAATTGCAGAATTAATCTATTTTTTCCCTCATATTTAGTTTATTGGCAGTTTGAAACAGCTGACCTACTTGGATGTTTCTAAAAACAACATTGAAATGATTGAAGAAGGTGTTTCAGGCTGTGAAAGCCTACAAGACTTGCTATTATCCAGTAATTCACTTCAGCAACTTCCAGAGTCCATTGGTTTGTATTATCTAATTTATGTGCTTCTTTTTTAAAATGAAGGTAGCTGTTTGACGAAACTTTATTTAGTACAACATGGAATACCATATGGATCCAAAAATCAAAACAGTAATCATAAACTGTTCTACTCATAGATGTGCAGGACAGAAATCATAATGCATGGTTAAATAACATTTGAGGACTGCAGTTTTATCACAAATTTTGAAAAATTTTTTAAAAATGAATGGCAAAGTATTGATATAAACTACTGATAAGGAATTTATCTTTCCTTTGTGGTTGACACATGATATGCTGGAAATGAAACTCTGTAAACTAATTTCTTTATTTCTTCTTCGAGTGGTTGCTCATGTCCATTCGAATTAGGTGTGTGCACCGCGTGCACTGCGTCTTCCGGATCGTTTTCCCTACCCATAGCGCCGGCGTGGCGCCGCCATGGCAGGGCATAAGTACCCCTGTCGGCGCTGCCCCACCTCAGTTCCTTCTTACCGCCCGTGACGGTCGTTGGAGCGTGTCTCTCTCTCAGCTTAGTTAATGGTTCCCGTTTCTCTCTGAGCATTGTAAATAGTTCTTTTAGTTAGGTAGTTAGTGTCTCCTTCGTCCTTTGTTCCTCCTCCCCCTTTGGGGGTGAGGAATGCCAGGGCCACAAGGCTTGAAGGCGTGCGCTGTCTGCGCAAAGTTCATGTCCAAAGGAGACCCACACGACAACTGTCTGAAGTGTCTGGGTGAGAGCCACCTCACGGACGCCTGTAAGATCTGTAAGTCTTTCAAGCCGCGCACTAAAAGGGAGAGGGTCTCTCGCCTAAAACTTCTCCTCATGGAAATGGCTTTATAGCCGGTACCGACTGGCCACCCTACGGTGCGCAGTGCGCCGGCATCCACGTGGAATGTCCTGCCTCGGGCCTGGGCCTCGGCGTCGAGATCCCAGCACCAGTCTCACTCTCCGGCATCCAAGAGGGCGAAAAAGTCTCGTGGAAGGTCCCCGTCTCAGAAGACCATGCCGGCCCTGCACCGTGGTGCCGACTCACCAGTGCACACATCCTCTGCAGTGCGGCGTAAGCGAGCAGAACGCCCTTCCAACCCAAGGCAACTGCCCCTGCACCGTCCGTCCACGTCGGCGGCACAGGACCTCATCTGTCTCACCACCTCCCCTCCGTCGTCGGTTGAGGAAGAAGGGTCGAGGTCACCCACGCCAGAGGCCGTGTTGGCTCTGGCTTCGCCTCCGCACCGGCATGACTGCCAGGCTCAGGCACCTTACGCATCGGGACCGTCCCTCGTGGGACCGGTACCGATTGCCTCAGCATCGACGCAGTTATTGACGCCTAAGCCTCACTCGGCACCCAACTGGGTTCGACCCCCATTGGTGCTGGGCTCTCTCCCGGCTCCTCATTTGGCTGCACCGGTGCCGTACCACCCTAGCCTTGTGGCAACGTCTGCGGCACCGTCACCTTCGTCGGCACCGGGCTCTTCGGGACTGACGCACTTCTCGACACCGTCGCAAGCACCGGCACCGACCATGTGGACCTTGCCGGTACCCCAGCCAACAGTGATGTGGTCCTCCTCCAGGTTCGTCTCGACACCGCCATGCTCTGCACCGGTGATGCAACTGGCACTGGGACTGGGCCTCCCGGCACCTCTTTCAGTGCCAACACTGTTTTCGGCACCGGGCCTGGGTCCCCCGGTGCCGCAGGTGCCAACAACTCTCTCGGCACTGGGCCTGGGTCCCCTGGTGCCGCAACAGGCATCGGCACATCCCCGCCGTGTACCTGCCAGCAAGCCCCGAGTCCATGGCTAGGTTTGCCCCCCACTCCTCGTCAGCACCTCCCTGGCCAGAGTCCGATTATTCGTCTGATTCCGATGCGACATCCCTCAGGTTGGGGTCTTCGGAAGCCTCCTCGGCCCATAGATCCCGTTCCTGGCATCGACGTGACCATTCACAGGTGCAGCAGACTTGGCCGCCGCATCTGCAGTGGCCTTTCTGGACGCCGTGGGCGTACCACCAGTGGCAGGGGCCCGTGCCCCCCTCTGTGGTGTCGGACGCTTCGGGTCACCGAACGCAACCATCAGTGTTGTTGTCGTGACCTTCTCCTTCTCCCCAGAGGCCGCCTACATCAGATCTTGCGGCACAGGTACAGGCCCCGGTGCCGGAAACGTGCCCGCAGGCGGTGCCCTATGTCCAACCGGTACCGCACGCGGCTCCTGCGGTAGATCCGGCACCGATACAGGAGTCGTCGTCATCATCGTCTTCTGACAAGGCCCTTGCGGATCCGGCACCAGCCCTGCCTACTATGGATGCCCGTGACACAGATCCAAACGCCCAAGCTCTCCCTATGTCTGTCCCTTTATGACCGGCTGAAGTTCTTTTAAATTGTGCTTGGTTCTATTACAGCAACTGAAGGAGTCAGGTTAAAGCTTAAACAGTTACAGGTTTATTAAAGAAGCTTATAAATCATATGGTTACAATGGCTATTGCTCTATTTCTTAAATGCTAGCAAATATATATATATATAGGTCTTAAAAATGATTACAGGAAAAAGGTAAGGATAGAAAATAGAAATAATGGTACCAAGTGACAGCTTAATCTTTAAAGAGCTCTAACACTATGTATATATATACTTAAACAAAGGACCACATCCAGGTACAATTTTTACCCCTTTCTGTGCCTCTCGACTCCAGTGTGTCAGGCCAGGGCCGGTCTCTCAATTCCTAGGAAAGACGAATACGAGGTGGGCGTCCCCTCTGGAACCTCAGGAGATCAAACACCAAACCCAACCAGCAGATAGATGGTAGATTGACACTCAGAGAAAATGCACTGCTGGACCCATCTATATACCCCTGGGGGCCCGTATCCTCTTTTCTTATCTAAGATGCCGAATTGTACTGGTCCATTTTGTGGCGCCAGTTCTTACAAGCAAGTTTCAAGTTAATTTACACTTGCAAGAGAGATAACTAAATTGTGTGTACTAGACATTTTTTTTACTGGGCGAGAGATTCCTTCCCCCGCGGACGGCTGTGTGTTCGTATCAATATGGGTTTGAGTCAAGGACACTCCTTGGCAGCCTCTTGGTCAGCAATTGTATCTCTGTTTACAGCCATTCACAGTCACACAGCCTGGGCCTTCTGCTATGTGTCCCCTGTATGCTCCAGGCAAGCAAAAATGGATGTTATAAGGGGGTTCCTGTCTGGCTACACAGGCACAGGCCCCGGTGCTGGAAATGTGCCCACAGGCGGTGCCCTATGTCCAACCGGTACCGCATGCGGCTCTTGCGGTAGATCCGGCACCGATACAGGAGTCGTCGTCATCATCGTCTTCTGACAAGGCCCTTGCGGATCCGGCACCAGCCCTGCCTACTATGGATGCCCGTGCGCATCAGGAACTGCTCCGGCATCTGGCTTCCAACCTAGGTGTCCCGGTGGAGCCCGTCATGGAGGACACAGATCCGATGGTCAATATCCTTTCGGGTGACGCGCCCGCCCGTTTGGCTTTGCCACTTAATAAAATGGTGGCAAAAATTACTAATGCCCTGTGGCAAACACCGGCGACCCTGACCCCTACCTTAAAGGGTGTCAAGAGGCGCTACTATGTTCCCCAGTTGGGGCACGAGCACTTGTACTCCCAGCCTGTCCCGGGGTCCTTGGTCATCCAGGCAGCAGCCCAGAGGGAAAAGCTCCCCCAGCCGGGGCCGTCCCCGAAAGCTAGGGAAGCTAAGCGCCTTGACTTAATGGGCCGAAAAGTCTACGCCACTGGTGGGGTGCAGCTCCGCATCACTAATCAGCAAGCAATGCTAAGTTGTTATGCTTTTAATACCTGGCAGGCCATGGATAAGTCCAAGGATAAGCTCCCTGCCGAGTCCCGTCAGGAGTTTGCGGCCATGACCTCTGAGGGTAAGGCCATCACCCGTACAGCCCTCCAGGCCTCCCTGGACGCAGTCGACTCTGCAGCCCGCACCATGGCGTCAGGTGTGGTCATGCGCCGTGGTGCCTGGCTGCAAGTGTCTGGAATACCTCCAATCTACTATCCAAGAGCTGCCTTTCGACGGCAAGGCATTATTCTCGGAGCATACGGACTCGAGGCTCCATACGCTCAAGGACACGAGGTCTACCCTTCGGTCCTTGGGGATCCACTTGCCTGCTTCTCAGCATCGTCAGCTGCCCTACAGACAGCAGGGGAGACTGTAGTTGTGAAGAACACTGGAGACGCCATCCTCGTGCTTCCGGTGGGAGCACGGGGGCGGCTGCGGGCTCCTTGGCCTCAAGGGGCCGTAGGTGCCGCTTGAGAGGGGACAACCCCCGTGGGGTTGGTCAAGGTCCCTCCCAACAACACAAGCAGCAATTTTGACAGGCTCCCAGAGAGTTGTACACCAGCCTCCCACTCTGGCCCCCCGTTTGGGGCCAGGTTATCCCGGTTTGCTCAAGCCTGGGCAAAAATCACAAACGACGCCTGGGTTTTAAACATAGTCAGGAGTGGCTATACCCAGGGCCTGTGGTCCTCTGTGGAGCACGCTCTACATATAAATGTACGGGAGCTCAGAGCAGTCAGGAGAGTGTGCGATACCTTCCTGTCGAAGCTCTCTCACCGCTCTGTTCTAGTCCGGCTGGACAATCCGGCAGCTGTATTTTACGTCAACAGGCAGGGGGGTGCCTGGTCGCCTCCCCTCTGCCACGAGGCCCTGAGCCTCTGGGAACTGTGTGTACAGCACAACATAGTTTTGCAGGCAAAGTACCTGCCGGGGTGCAAAAACTTACTGGCCGATGCTCTGAGCAGGTCCTTCGGAGCCCACGAGTGGTCTCTCAAGGACTCGGCCCTTCGTCAGGTCTTCTGCAGGTGGAGCTATCCCCTACTAGACCTGTTTGCCTCGGCACGCAATACCAAGTGTCGGAGTTACTGCTCCCTATTGAGGCTGGGGGGACACTCCTGGGGGGATGCCTTGACAGCACATGGCCGGTGGGCTACCTTTATGCTTTCCCCCCATTTCCCCTAATTCCCAGGGTTCTGACCAGGGTCAAGACCTTCAGGTCCACGGTATTCCTGATAACCCCCAGGTGGCCCAGACAATTCTGGTTCCCCATACTGGTGGACATGTCCACCAAGGAGCTGATAATCATAGAATCATAGAATAATATAATAATAATGCTCCTGCCAGCCCGGGATCTCCAGGGAGACCATGGTTCACCCAAATCTCAAGGCTCTACACCTAACAGCCTGGTTTATTCATGGTTGAACCAACCAGAAAGGGAATGTTCCCACGAGGTAAAGATGGTGCTCCTAAGTAGTAGGAAACCTTCTACCAGACGGTCATACACTGCTAAGTGGCGGCGCTTCTCGTCTTGGGCGTCCCGCTGGGGAGTGCACCTGTCCTGTGCCCCTGTCCCGTCCATTCTGCAATATCTTTTTGAACTTAGGTCTAGTGGCCTCTTTATCTCCTCTATCAAAATCCACGTGGCATCTCCCTCCGCCTTCCATGTTGGTTTGGCAGGAATTTCTCTTTTCTCTGACCCTGTGGTCAAAAGGTTCCTTACGGGTTTGGATAAGTTGTATCCCTTGGTTAGACCCCCTCTCCCGGCTTGGGACCTCAACCTCATGTTGTTTAGACTTATGTCACCCCCCCCCCTTTGAGCCGCTGGCTACGTGTTCTTTGAAGCACCTCTCCTGGAAGGTTGCATTCATTGTGGCCATTACGTTAGCTCGCAGGGTTTCCGAATTGAGGGCGTTGACTATAAATCCGCCCTACCTGGTGTTTTCTGACAATAACGTGAGCCTCCACCCCCATCTGGCTTTTCTCCCCAGGTGGTATCACCTTTTCATTTGTCTCAAGAAATTTATCTCCCGGTTTCCTTTCCAAAACCCCATGCCTCACCCAAGGAGCAGGTGCTCTATACCCTGGATGCTAGGCGTGCACTAGCCTTTTATATTGATAGGACCAAACCCTTTCACAGGTCTCAGCAGCTGTTTATTGCTGTCGCGGACAGTGTGAAAGGGCTCCCCATTTCAACCCAGAGGTTGTCCAACTGGGTCGCAGGCTGCATCAGGGAGTGTTACGCCCTGGCCAGGAAGGTCCCGCCCCGGGTTACAGCGCACTCTACCAGGGCACAAGCGTCCTCTGTAGCGTTTGGGGCGCAGGTTCCAATAACTGAAATTTGCAGGGCGGCCATGTGGTCGTCACTCTATACCTTTACGGCACACTACGCGCTGGCGCAACGGGCCAGGCAGGACGCAGGGGTGGGCTCTGCAGTCTTCAGCTCTGTGTTGTAAATACGTTTGGTTTATCAGTGTCACATTGCACTTTATACAAGTTTTCTGTGTTCGCTTGGTTGAATAAATTTGTTTGGGTTGTTCAACTTTTCGTGGACTTTTTGTTTCTGACTGCTCTGACCCCTCCTCCTTGAAGTGGGTTAGCTTGGTAGTCACCTAATTCGAATGGACATGAGCAACCACTCGAAGAAGAAAAGAACGGTTACTTACCTGTAACTGTTGTTCTTCGAGATGTGTTGCTCATGTCCATTCGACTCCCACCCTACCTCCCCTTCGTCAGAGTGTCCGGCAAGAAGGAACTGAGGTGGGGCAGTGCTGGCAGGGGTATTTATGCCCCGCCATGGTGGCGCCACTCCAGGGGGCGCCCTGCCGGCGCTACGGGTACCGCTAGGGAAAACGCTCTGGAAGACGCGGTGCATGTGGTGCGCACACCTAATTCGAATGGACATGAGCAACACATCTCAAAGAACAACAGTTACAGTTAAGTAACCGTTCTTTTCTTGGTCCCTCTTTTGTCAGGGGGAGGCAGAAGCTCTGCAGCGAATGTTTGACAAGTTTATCGACAAGATGCTGACCTTCAAGAAGGAAAACTGCCAGGAGCTGGTCCCCATCCCCGAGTACAGTGGGATCGTGTCTCTCTGCAAGCTCTTCTCTGCTCTGGCCACCCCAGAGAATGGGGTAGGTAGCAGACATGAACCTGCAAGCTCTGGCGCTTCCAGGCTGAGGGCCCAAAGAAATGCACTGAATGTGAAGAGCCATGAATGTCCTGTGGCTCCTACCATCACTCAAAGCAGGGGCCTTTCTAAGCTGGCTGGGCTCCTTTGCTTCCATATGTATGTCTGGGTATGGTATTCAGTGTGAGCTGTGCTCCTTGACTGCATTCCCATCCTGTGACCCCACGTAAGTCAGGAGAGGTGCCCTGTTGTGGAGATTTGGGAAACTGACCTTTCAAATCCCAGAGCAGGGGTTTTAGCTGCAAGATTTGGTTTAAGAATTGTCCTTAGTAGCTAGCACTCTGGTACCCCCATTGTTCTCATCCTCTCCCAGGTCTTGTCAGCCCTTTCTGCCAGGGCACTATTCACCAGCAAAGCCTCCTGAACTTGGAGGATAGACAAGTACCTAGGGTTGCCAGATGGTTTCAACAAAAAGTACTGGACACACTTGATAAAAAAGGTTGAAAAAGCTACCAGAGGAGAAGCTGTTCTGGATTTGATTTTAACAAATAGGGAGGAACTAGTTGAGAACTTGAAAGTGGAAGACAGTATGGGGGACAGTGATCATGAAATAATAGAGTTCATGATCTTAAGGAAAGGTAGAAGGGAGACCAGCACAATTGAGGTAATGGATTTCAGGAAGGCAGATTTTGATAAGCTCAGAGAACTTGTAGGTAAGGTCCCATGGGAAGCAAGACTGAAGGGAAAAACAACTGAGGAGAGTTGGAAGTATTTCAAAGGGACGTTGTTAAGGGCCCAAAAGCAAACAATTCCGCTGTGTAGGAAAGATAGAAAATATGGCAAAAGACCAGCTTGGCTTAACAAGGAGATCTTGCACAATCTCAAAATAAAAAAGGAGTCATATAAAAAATGGAAACTAGGACAAATAACAAAGGATGAATATAGGCAAGCAACACAGGAATGCAGGGGCAAGATTAGAAAGGCAAAGGCACAAAATGAGATCAAACTAGCTACAGGCATAAAGGGAAACAAGAAGACCTTTTATAAATACATTAAAAGCAAGAGGAAGACCAAGGACAGGGTAGGCCCACTGCTTAGCGAGGAGGGAGAAGCAGTAACAGGGAACTTGGAAATGGCGGAGATGCTCAATGACTTCTTTGTTTCGGTCTTCACCGAGAAGTCTGGAGGTGTGCCTAACGTAGTGAATACAAGCAGAGAGAGGGTAAGTTTAGAAGATAGGATACACAAAGAACAAGTTAAAAATCACTTAGGAAAGTTAGATGTCAGCAAGTCACCAGGTCCTGATGAAATGCATCCCAGGATACTCAAGGAGCTGATAGAGGAGGTATCTGAGCCTTTAGCTATGATCTTTGAAAAATCATGGCAGACAGGGGAGATTCCAGAAGACTGGAAAAGGGCAAATATTGTGCCCATCTATAAAAAGGGGAATAAGAACAACCCAGGAAACTACAGACCGGTCAGTTTAACGTCTGTCCCAGGGAAGATAATGGAGCAGGTAATTAAGGAAATCATATGCAAACACTTGGAAGGTAATAAAGTGATAGGGAATAGCCAGCATGGGTTTGTGAAGAACAAGTCATGCCAAACTAATCTGATAGCTTTCTTTGATAAGATAACGAGCCTTGTGGATAAGGGAGAAGCGGTGGATGTCATATACCTAGACTTTAGTAAGGCATTTGATACGGTCTCGCATGATATTCTTATTGATAAACTAGGCAAATATAACTTAGATAGGGCCACGATAAGGTGGGTGCATAATTGGCTGGATAACCGTAGTCAGAGAGTTGTTGTTAACGGTTCTAAATCCTGCTGGAAAGGGATAACAAGTGGAGTTCCTCAAGGGTCTGTTTTGGGACCCATACTGTTCAACATCTTCATCAATGATGTAGATATTGGGATAGAGAGTACGCTTATTAAGTTTGCAGATGATACCAAACTGGGTGGGGTTGCAACTTCTTTGGAGGATAGGGACATAATTCAAAATGACCTTAGCAAGTTAGAGAAATGGTCAGAGGTAAACAGGATGAGGTTTAATAAAGAGAAATGCAAAGTGCTCCACTTAGGAAGGAACAATCAGTTCCATACATACAAGATGGGAAGCGACTGTCTAGGAAGGAGCATGGCAGAAAGGGATCTAGGGGTCATAGTGGACCACAAGTTGAATATGAGTCAACAGTGTGATGCTGTTGCAAAAAAAGCAAATATGATTCTAGGTTGTATCAACAGGTGTGTTGTAAGCAAAACTCGTGAAGTCATTCTGCCGCTCTACTCTGCACTAGTTAGGCCTCAGCTGGAGTACTGTGTCCAGTTCTGGGCGCCACATTTCAAGAAAGATGTGGAGAAATTGGAAAGGGTACAGAGAAGAGCAACAAGAATGATTAAAGGTTTAGAGAACATGACCTATGAAGCCAGGCTTCATGAACTGGGCTTGTTTAGTTTGGAAAAAAGAAGATTAAGGGGGGACATGATAGCGGTTTTCAAATATCTAAAAGGGTGTCACAAGGAGGAAGGAGAAAATTTGTTCCTCTTGGTTTCTGAGGACAGGACAAGGAGTAATGGGCTTAAAGTGCAGCAGGGGAGGTTTAGATTGGACATTAGGAAAAAATTCCTAACTGTCAGGGTGGTCAAATATTGGAATAAATTGCCAAGGGAGGTGGTGGAATCTCCCTCTCTGGAGATATTTAAGAACAGGTTAGATAGACATCTGTCAGGGATGGTGTAGACAGAGCTTGATCCTGCCTTGAGGGCGGGGGGCTGGACTCGATGACCTCTTGAGGTCCCTTCCAGTCCTATTATTCTATGATTCTATGAAAAGCATGAGTGGCGTGGAGAGGGTGCATAAAGAAAAGTTCTTCAGTCCTATGATTCTATGATAAAAATTTGTTGACCAAAAAAATACACGTGATATGGGAAGTTTATTGACGACAATCTACATTACATCATATATTTTACATTAGATTGTGCGGTTTTTATTAATGTTTTATTTTTCAAAAACTCCTCTTTTACTTCCAAACAAGTGAAAGGTATATTAAAAAACCCACAAAGTTGACTTCTTACTGACTCAACACTCAATCTGTTGCATTCATTGGTCCGTTGATTACCCATGACACTAAAAATTCTTTCCAGAATGGCATTTGACACAGGAATTAAAACAGAATATTGAACCAGTTTTAATAAATTTGGAGCAGCAGGTTCTTTGCTGAAAAAATATTTCCCCTTATCAAGAGATGTTCACTTCCCTTGAGGGAACAACATCATGTCCAAGGCACTGACTTCCTGATAAAGAGATTTTGGAGGGAGCTCTTTTTGCATGGTGACAACATCCAGATTTTAATTACTTCATCAAAAGAAGGAGATTTTTCATGATGAGCCAAACTCAGAGCATGACATGGTGAATTTTCAAAAGGAAACCTCTTCTCCAGATATTTGAAGGCTCTTGTGTACACATTCAGTGCTTCAGACATAAATTTTTTGACTGCATTTATTGACTTCTCGCTGCGAGATATGAGAAAGATGAAAGCTAGACAAAGGACAACACTGTCGCAAATCATATGTTTATAAAAGGAAAATATTGAGCACTACTGCGTAGTTGCATACTGCCTGGCTGGTAGACACGCTCACTGTGTGTGTGTGTGTGTCTGTCTGTCTGTCAGCCAGGCAGTATGCAACTGCATACTAATACTTGTATCTAAGTGGCAAATCGGCATAGTAGCGCATAGCGAAGGCCTGGAGAGTGAGCAAGAATACTCACGCACAAGTCACGTCATAACATGATAATAATAAAACTTACTTAATTAGAAAATACCGGACATATAAATTTTCTCAATTTGTTTTCTGGACAGAAAGCTCAAATACCGGACTCTCCGGTTCAAATACCAGACACCTGGCAACCCTACAAGTACCACGTAGAGAGAAAAAAAGACTGATTCATTGGGTCCTGCCCATTTGAACTCAAGAGCTCAAAAGTTCTGGGTGTGTCAGTCTACAACTCTGCCATCATGGTTCCTGGTGTACAGTGTTCAGATTATGGGTATGCCAACTTAAAGCACTCTGAGCATATAGCCTTACATTCCAGGAGTGCCAGTCTAGAACATTTCCATTGTGCAGTAGGCTGATGTTCCGGGTACATCAGCCTAGAATGCTCCTGTTCTGAAGCCCAGGTTCCTGGTTATGTCAACCTATAATGTGTCATCATGCAGCCTGATGTTCTTCGAGGAGTGTCCCTGTGGGTGCTCAGCCTTAGGTGTCTGAGGCACTAGTGCACTTCTAGTCGGAGAATTTAGGTAATATCCTCAGTAGGCTGCGCAAGTGGGGCAGCTGGCATGTATCAATGCAGCTACTCTGCATGCGCAGCCAACCGTCCCTTCAGTTCCTTCTCTGCAGCTGGCAGCTTCAGTCTGAACTCATAGCTGTCCTTCTGATAGTTTTCAAAATGTATTAGAGTTAATATTGTTAGTTGTTGTTGCAGTACTAGTTAGTCTGTTAAACAGTTATAGTTAGTTATTTAAAAAAAAATCTTTTTGTTAGAACGTTTTCCCTTTGGCCATTTTTTCTTCCTGGGATGCCTGGTTCCCCAGGTTTCAAATGCTGCCTGTTCTGCAGGCTTTCTGTGTTGGATGGCCACTCGCAGTGTGTCCGGTGCCTTGGACAGGCACACTCTACTACCCAGTGTGAGTGCTGTAAACAGCTCATGGAACATAAGACAGTCCAGGGAGCTTCAGCTGAAGTTGCCTTCATGTTAGCATCTCAGGGGATTCTGCCCATCAGATCTCTGAGGGAGTCAAAATCTGGTTTTTTGAAGTCCAAGGTGTGTATTTTACTACTCTCTTTTCTTCCTTTGGTCAGGATCCCGAAATTTACCATCTCATGATCACTGCTTCCCAGGTTGTCACCCACCTCTACTTCCCCTATTAGTTTCTCCCTGTTTGTGACCAGAAGGTCAAGCTGTGCATGGCCCCTGGTTGGATCCTTCAGCACTTTACC